ACAGATGGGAAAAATGGACATTTTTCTTTTTATATCATGGTTGGTGAGAGATCTAATCTCATCGTGAGTTCACCATGTAGTTAGAAGCCCCCAAGGGAGTCAATAGAATAAACATTCCACAAGTTCCGCCTTATCTCTATCGAAAATCGTATTTCTTAAAGAAATTTATTAAGGAAAATAGTAGAATCCGACATTGTATATCTATAGAAAATATTGTATTATAATATTTAGATATTAAACTATGGCTTCATCTAACCATTTAAGTTTTTAGAACAGTTGGCAGTAATTCCACGAGATCTCACATAGTGTAAAAGCAATGGGTTCTAATATTGCTTTAGGTTTAGTCCAAAGTCCAGCCTACGCGTGAAGGTGAATGTTAGAATGTTTAAATATTAAATCACGTGTTCGTCTTACACCTTGAACTTTTTTGTGCAATTGGTAAAGTCTCGCAAAATTTAACATATTGAATCCTCAAAATTTTGATACATATACGAGCTTTATTCGGGGACGGGGACCAACAAAATGGCGATGAGTCCTTCATGGGTTGAAACTTTCAAGAGGAACTCTCTTATTGCTTTCCCAATATTTTTTCACGAAATTAGGTATAAAAAAGAAAAAAGCAGTTGACTAGAATTCATCTTTGTTTGCTACAAAGACTGTTTGACTTCTTGCCGGTCCTTTTTTTGGGGCCTTCACGACTTCATTGGTGATGAGAGCATAAGAGGCCGGCTCCTAATCCTCTCTTTGCTGTCACTCTCCAAGTCTCCAACATACATCTAGCCCTAACCGAGTCACTAGGCATTGATATGAAATTGTAAACTCCCCATACATTCACATTGCATGCTCTCCTATCTTTTTCCTCCAGAATTTTGTAGTATTCAGCTAATTGATGTCATTCTCTGGCCAAGATTAGAATGATTTGACTTTTGAGTCCTCCTTATGTTATATTAGCTAAGAGAAATATGCATGTCTCTTGATTTTAGGGATAAATGCATTGAAAGCCCTAAAACTTGTCACTAAAGTGCAATTGAGTCCTAAAACTTTCAAAAAGTGCAATCAAGTCCAACAACTTGCCAAATTGATTCAATCAAGTCCTTCCGTTGATTACATCTTTTAAGTTTTGTCATTTGATTACACTTTCGTAACAAGTTTTAGGACTGGATTGCACATTTTGAAAGTTTTAGGACTCGATTGCACTTCTCTGAGAAGTTTTAAGACTTGATTGCACTTTTGTGACAAGTTTTATAGGATTTCCAGTACACTTATCCCTTGATTTTATAACCATGACTTTCTAGGGTTTCTTCCCCTGACAATGGGGTGTCCATGGTTTTTTCGGGCAAATGATGAATCCCCAGTAAATCCTTCAGTCACGTTTCCACTCAGCAATTATCACGACTAGTAGGTTTGGAGGTTAAGTCGTGTCCTCGAGAAAGTGCTTTATTGTGATTCTTTGAACTTAAAGCCTTGAGTGAGAAGGCGGATAGCTACACCTCTTAAACATAATCCTTCGGCGTTTTTTGTAACCGACATTCCATATGAGCATGCGGAAATAAATAATGTCGTTTAGGAGCAATAGACTCGATACAGGATCAGAACTATCACCATCTATCTGAATATGAAGTTTATTGGTTCATTTGGGTTAGTTAAGTTGAAATTTTAATTATTTGGTTAAGAAAGAGTTATGATACCCAAACTCCTATCTTAAGAGTAGTTAGTGTTGAGATGTATATGTGTTGTGTTAGAGAAGTTCCACATTTGTTTAAGTTTTTGAGTGAAGGTGGGTCCAGCTAGATATGTTTTTTTTTTATCCAATTTGATATGTTGACAGATTAGGACTTGAGCTCTCTTTTGGCAATCTCCCCGCGTGAAGATATCAGACTTCTGCTGTGTGCTCCCAACAAATGGTATCAGAGCTTATGGTTGATTGGTGCTCCACCCCAATCTATTCCGGTGTTTGGTAAATATCTCAAGAAAGAAATCTCAAAATCGTCGCTTGTTTCGAGTGTAAATTGCTATCACAGTTAGTTTAGTGAGAAGAGACCATGGACAGTTGGTCTAGTAACGTGAGTCTGGCGAGAAAAGACCATGGATAATTGATTTGGTAACGCGACATAGAGACCATGGGTGATGCAATTTCAAGTTAGCAGTTTATGATGGTTGTTGTGCATAATTGCGGGTATATTGTAATGGGGAAAAGTGCCAAAAAAGTCCTAAACCTTTTGCATTAGTACCAATTTAGTCCTAAACCTTTTTTTGGTGCCAATTCAGTCCTAAACCTTTTGCATTTGTGCCAATTTAGTCCTAAACCTTTTTTTGATGCCAATTAAGTCCTAAACCTTTTAAATTGGTGCCAATTCAGTCCTAAACCTTTTGTTTTTGTGCCAATTTAGTCATTCCTGTCAATTTTGATCGGAATTTGCTGACGTGGACACTTGCCGGCTGGCGGCCAGTCACTGGCGCCGACGTGGCGCTGACGTGGATAAATTTAATAATATTTTATTATTTTTTTGAATTTTTATTTTTTTTCTTTTTTTTCAGTTTTTTTTTGCCCCTCCTCCTTCCTCTGGCCGGTCGCCGGACCGGCGACCGGCCAGAGGCCAGTGGCCGGCGAGCTTGACCTCGCCGGCCACCGCGTGGCGGCGGCCTCGCCGGCCACCGCGAGGGCGGCGGCCTCGCCGGCCCAGCGAGGGCGGCGGCCTCGCCCGGCGAGGGCTCGAGCCTCGCCATGGTCGGGCGAGGCTCGTGCCCTCGCCGAAGGCCGCGGCGAGGGCGAGCCTCGCCCGGCCAAGGCGAGGCTCGAGCCCTCACCGGAGGCCGCGGCCAGGGCGAGCCTTGCCATGGTCAGGCGAGGCCCGACCTCGCCGGATCTGGCGAGGTCGAGCCTCGCCCGACCAAGGCGAGGCTCGAGCCCTCGCCGGATGGCGAGGCCGCCGCCCTCGCCAGTGGCCGGCGAGGTCGAGCTCGTCGGCCAGAGGAAGGAGGGGGGGCAAAAAAAAACTGCAAAAAAAAGAAAAAAAAAGGAAAAAAAATAAAATTCAAAAAAATAATAAAATATTATTAAATTTAGCCACGTCAGCGCCACGTCGGCGCCGGTGACCGGCCGGCAAGCGTCCACGTCAGCAAATTCCGGTCAAAATTGACCGGAATGACTAAATTGGCACAAAAACAAAAGGTTTAGGACTGAATTGGCACCAATTTAAAAGGTTTAGGACTTAATTGGCACCAAAAAAAGGTTTAGGACTAAATTGGCACCAATGCAAAAGGTTTAGGACTGAATTGGCACCAAAAAAAGGTTTAGGACTAAATTGGCACTAATGCAAAAGGTTTAGGACTTTTTTGGCACTTTTCCCTATTGTAATGACTTGGAGATTAAACTTGAGATAAATTGATGCAAAAAGATATCTAAATTAAAGGGGAGCAAACCTAACACTGAGCTCATATGTGAGGGGGAGATTGTTGAGATACATGCATGAGTTGTTAGAAAAGTCCCACATCGAAGAATTGATGTGGTATTGAACAATTAATATATCCTAATTGGCCCATACTCATTAGCTTAAACTTTTGAGTGAATGTGGATCTAATTGGATATGTTGACGGGCCAAAACTTGGGCTTTCTCTTGGCGATCTCCCCGAGTGAAGGTATCAGGCTTTTGATGCGTGCTCCCAACAATTAGAGAACCAAATCTACAAGTTTCATCATTGCCATCTTAGCAAAAGATAATGATAATAACTACATTAGACAAAACTTAATTCCCAAGTAGGAATGGGCCAAACGTTTGACCGGTTTTGGACAAGGACTGCTTGAGGGCAAAAGCCACTGTTTGCACAATTGCACTCTTTTTTATCTTCCCCATGCTCATGCATGATGCATCAACGCATACTGGTTGGCCACTTGGCTCTATGTGGTGACGGACCAAACTAAATTACGAGGTAAAATTTCACAAATCCATCTTATTAAGATTATCTTTAGTGTGGACGTAAGGAGCTTAGATTTGACTTGAAGTTAAATTATCATTGATTTCTTTGAAACCTGCTTCCGTGATTTTATAGAAGGGAAAAGAGTAGATGACCGGCTCCGTCAATCTCACAAGAGTGACCGAGCCTTACCCACCACTCATTTTAGCTTGCAGCATTAAAACCCACTTGGGTGAGATGGGATTCAGCAAGCGAATCCCACTATCTTATTCTTTTTAAGAAATTGATTAGAGAAAAGAGGAAATGTAAGAAATCAAATTAAAATAAGATAGATCTTATAATCTCACAGCTTTTTTATAATCGCAGTTGGCCATCTACCATAATATAAGATTTGTGATCACTAAAGCATCGCTACCACTTCATTACAATGGTGTCATTAGGTTAGCTGGACTCAAAACCATACGTCGTGATCCTCTTAGAGGTGAACTACCGAGGAAAAGATGATAGATTACTAAGTCAAAGACCTTGTGCAGACTCTCCCAAGCCAAAATCAATATTAACATTACGGTTAATACTATGAAAAACCCTAAACTTGTACACTTGTTACAATTTTACCCCAAGCTAATTATTTATTCACCAAAAACCCCAAACTGATGCACATGTGATAAATTTACCCTCAGTTTGTTTTTGTTAAATTTTATTATCAAATTACTATGTTAAATGACACGCGGTAATTGACTAATGTATCGGTTTTATATTTTACCCTCCGTTTGTCACAGGTGTACCGGTTTGTGATTTTTTTGTTATATTAATCCAATTTAACGGAAACTAACTGAGGGTAAATTTATCACAAATGTATTAATTTGGGATTTTTAGTGGTCAAAATATTAGTTTTGGATAAATTTATCACAAGTGTACCAGTTTGGGGTTTTTTGTGGTATTAACCCTTAGGTTATTGTATTGCGAGATATTATTATATATATTTGCGAAGTCACAACCAAGGTGGACACAAGAGAGTCTTCTCTTTATTTCCTCTTATATTATGCTTTTACATAAATAGATGAAAACAGGTAGACATTCAGATATGTTAAAGACACGAAATCGCCAGCCAAAGGCGGGGAATGTATTTGAACCGAAGGACAATAAAACATGAAGTCTATTCATTGTACCGGCATTGTCGAAGGAATGAAGCTACGGATGGCTGTGTATCATAATGGGGTTGCATCCAGAAAGCACAAATAGACAAAGCGTGTTTCGTGTGCTCTCGGTCCTAACACTGAGGCAGATCAGGAGGAGGTGGAGGCAATGTCGACGACGGTGTCGGCCCGTTCTCGACGACGATGGCCGTCGCTAGTCCGAAAGACAAGTGGGCGTCCAGGTGGCAGTGCAATATCCATGCGCCTGCAAAATATACAAAAGAGAAATGAGATACATTAGTCTTTTTGTTTGGGGTTATAAACTAATCATCAATTTCCAATATGTTACATTTTAAATTCATCATCGTACTGGTCTAAAGGATTTGTTGCACTGTCATTATCCTTCAACTCGTTCCATCTAATTACCAAACTCATTCCTTCACCTAACTCCCTCCCCTGAGAAACATTCACTCTTACAAAAAACAAATCAAGTTCAAGCCACATGACATCAACGTGTGAACCACACCAAGGGATTGGTCAAGGACACAAACAATGGGATCATATGTTGCATGTGATTCAAGAATGCATATGGTTGACGAGTTAACTTAAAGATAATCATTTGATTGCCCGATGTTTCGTGGACTTAATCCCTCTTTTCTTGCTTAATTAATCACAAGAAATGGTTCTCTGTGGTCGCTACACTTGCAAGTGATCGTTGATCATACTTATATTATCTTCTTTTTTGGCTAGGAAATAATCATGCTTAGATTAAACCCTAAATAATTGCTCGATAACGAACTATATTGAACTTCTAAAAAAAAATGCACCAACTCTGACTTGTCTTTGTAAAAGGAAATTATGTCTAGTCTTTATTCTAAACTCTAGGCAATCATACTTCAAGAAACAATAAATCTCACTTTAGAATACGATGAATGATTGATTTTTTCTCCCCGTATGTTAGTTAGAATACAATAGAATGATTTTATATAGTATTTACTGTCATAACTCAAAATATGAAAGATAGAGAATAACATTACCTGGATTATTTGCTTGGAACCTGATGGCAGCCCAACCTCCCACGGGCACACCGATCGTGTTGCGTATCACTGGGTTGAAGAGATTGAACTTCTTCCGATCCTCGACTGGGTCGAAGTTCCCGAACCCTTGTCCCACCACGTGGAAGTTGTAGCCGTGCAAGTGCATAGGGTGATTCTCTGCGCCGATGATGGTTGTGTCCTGGAACACGATCTCGACCGTCGCGTTGTACTTCACTTGCTTCACCCTTGTGCTCTTGAGCGCGAATTCCAACGCTGTGTTGTTGCTGTTGGCGGGGTTCGTGTAATCGAATTTCAGCGGTGGCTGGTCGGGGAGATCGGTGGTGTAGATTCCTTTCACGTTGAAGAAGTGTGCTTGCAAGATGGACAGGCTCGTGGGGAATTGGAAGGACGCGTTATTTATGTTTGCGGAAAGCCGGAGGGTGGGGATATTGGGGATTGCCTTACATGTGGCTGTCGGCCCGCAGGGGGAGAGGCTCAATCCGATGGTCCAGAGCATTTGCTCGTCCAGCTTAGTCGGCACCGGCCTCCAATTCGGGCTCCCCACGAGGCTGGTCAGGGAGGAGGAGAACTTGTGGGCTGTCGGGGTGTCGTTGAGGGCCGGCAAGAGAGGCATGATTGGGCTCGTGTAGGGCAGCTCGTCGTAAATGAGGATCCCAGTTGTGGTGGTGTTATCGGGTGGCGGAGCGTTTTGGGCGCTAACGTACGGGCGGGCTGCCATGTAGTAGGCCCCCGGGGTCTGGTCCGTGATGAGGAGCATGTCGACCGTTTGGCCAGGGGCGAGGACGACGACGTCGGTGACGTAGGGGTCGGTGTATGAGGCATCGACTGCAACGACAGTGAACCTGTGATTGGCTATCTTGAAGAAAAGTTGGTTATTGAGTGCCGCGTTGATCATGCGAAGCATGTAGGTCTTTCCATGCACAACCTTTAGCTTGTAGGTATCTGCGCCGAAAATAAAAGTGCCCAAGTATCATCAATAACCCCCACTCAAAACTTCTCTCAAATTTGTTCCAGTTGAATAATTCATAAAAAAAAAAAAATCATCAAGGTAATATGAAGGAGAAAGATGCCGTATGTTGGTGGTTGCTTACGCTTTTTTGAGCAAGGATAGAGATCTCCAGGCCTTCCATTAATGGTGTATGCATTTGAATTGTTAGGCCCTGTGCCAAGCTCCTGTGCCTGGTTCTGAATATTGATCACATTCGCGTTCCACCACTCTCCTGCAATATGACGTAATTTATTTAATAGTTTGTCGAGTTTCTATTCAGAGAGAGTAATTACGGCATAATTGAGCCTAGCCAACTTAATTTGATCATCATGTTGACAAATCATAGGGTCATGAAATTTGCGTTCTATGATTAGTCTAGTCTGGTCAATTAAAAACTGATTTACGAGCCCAACACTCATGAATGAAGAAATGGTATTACTGGTTCTGTGGATGATCTATTCAATGATATAGGAAGATATATACGTTTTAAATCAGGTGAAGAATGATACCTAGAATGATAGGAAACTGTTCGTGGGGTGTGGGAAATGGGTAATGACCCGACTTGGGGAGGATGACGAGGGCGCCATAGATGGTGGCACGGAGCAACGAGAAATGAGCATGCCACCACAGCGTGCCTTCCTGTTTTGTGATAGTAAATTTATAGGTGTAATTATGTCCAGAACGTAGCGGACACTGCGTAATGTAACTTGGTCCATCTGCCCAGCCACTCAATAGTTGAAATACTCCATGCCTGCATGATCGAGCTGAGTGTCATCCTTAGCAACTTCAGGCTAGAAAATAGACAAGATAAAAAAACATTTCCCAAAGTAGGCACTTCGGAAGTTCATCAAGACAATTTTTTTTCCTTCCATTTTTCAAATTTTCATTTGTTTTATGCAAGTGTAGTTCACAAATTCGTGGGTGAGGTGAGATCTCATAATCGCATGCCATCATCAATTTCTTGTCAAAAAGCAATTCCTCATTCCATCATTCTTTATCTTGTTAACGATTAAAATAAAAACAGCTGGATGGTCATGAAAGAAAGCAACAGAAAAGAAAAACATAACGTTGGACTTTGTCAAAGTCAAACTTCCTATGCACATGTCAGTTTTAGTTCCATAGTTCAACGTAAATTACCAGTGAATAGTGACGTTGTATGGGGACATGTTGAAGACATGGACGACGAGGGTGTCTCCCTCCGTGACTCGAATGGTCGGACCAGGAAGAGCTCCGTTCACTGCAGTGATCACATGCTGCTGGCATAATTTTCTCACCGTCACGTTTTCCACCTGAAACCAAACACGGCATCAAGTTAGGTCTTGCATGTATAACAAAATCACGTTGTACATGAAAACCATTGATAGAACAAGAACGCAAAACGGGTCGACCCGTAAAACCCCGCATGGTTAAGTTCAAGTTGAATAGAAGCACTAAAAGGGAGTAAGCATATCACATTGAATGTGTGCTCCACGACTGCAGCTGAAGCCGTTGAAGACATAACTACGAGAGCAAAAGCCGATGAGAGCAGAAACACAACTCCTCGTCGCGCCATTGTTCAGCGCGAGCTTTCCGAAGGTCTTGACTATTGGAGTGCTTCGACGATGGACGAAACAGGGAGGAAGTGTTCGTATTTAAATCACAAGCCGTCGTTAGGTTTCATCTGGGGAACGAGAAGTGCACATCCATATTTTATCTCCATGAAACTTCGTTATGAGTGCGAAGCATCGGGGGTGAGGATGATAATAATGAAAATGCAGATCGTGGACTTATTCTTAACCTCTCGCATGTGTTCCCAATGGCAGTAGGACAAGCTTCGCTGTCTAGCAGTTAGAACATATTTGGATTAATACCACCAAAAAATCTCAAACTTGTACGCATGTAATAAATTTATCTCAAACTAATTTTTTGATCACCAAAAATTTCAAACCGGTACAACCGTGACAAGTTTACCCCAAACTATTTTTTTTACAATCAAAAACCCTGAACTGGTACATTTGTGACAAATTTATCTTCCATTAGTTTCCATTAAATTCGATTAATACCACGAAAAACTACAAACTAATTCACCTATGACAAATGGAGGGTAAACCCCAAATTGGTACACCCGTCAACTGCCACGTGTCATTCAACTCAGTAATTTGACGGTAAAATTTAACGGAAACCAACGGAGGGAAAATTTATCAGAGGTGTATCAGTTTGAGGTTTTTTGTGATCAAAAAATTAATTTAAGATAAATATATCACGGGTGTACCGGTTTAGAATTTTTCGTGGTATTAACCCAACTTATTTTACACATAATAACTTGCTTAGTGGAACATTTCCAATGCATGCTAAACTAGGAACAAGCTAAAGCGATGATGCAAGCAATGGGTCCAAAAAAAAGAGGTGGGGAAGAGAAGAAATGATAAGAGTACATTTTTGGAGTCAAGCCGCGAAACTAAAATCGCACAACGATTCACGTCGTTTATAGATCGATATAACCTACGTCCATGGAGGGAGATTTTCAAAATCCCGCTTACATAGAATAAATTCATAGACCAGTTTCTTATTTTAATATAATATCAAAGAAATCAGACCTAAAATACTCGTATTTCACATAGAATCCTTGCTATAGATCAAGTCAATATTCAAACTCGAAACATAGTTTGAATAGCTTTTAAGCTCTTTGCATCATTGATGTCATTCATTACGATATTAAATCACTTATAAAGCTTACTAAAGAACATCTTCTTGGCGGGGTGAAAACCGTGGGGAGTGAGTCAAATTTGGTTTGTTTTCCTATTCATATTAGAACTTCGATACAAATCATTCGTTAACACTTTTTACTTGACAATATTTCAATAGCTTCCTCGGAATTCCCCCGGAAATCCCAATACGCATGTTGCGTTAAACAAGATATACATCCATCTAAAAATGTTGGGACAAACTTAATAGAGCGTGTGAAAATTCGGTAGCGGCTTATTTGTTGGAAACTCCTATCCAAAAAAGAATACTTTAACACCCCTCTCATAGGGCTGCATACACAAAATAAACTAAGCAAAACCTGACTCGAATACTAAGTTCGAAGGTCAAAGCCAAAAACTTAAGTAATAATAGAAAGTAGACAACATGTATATCTTAAGAGCAAGTGGTTGAAGTTTTTTAATTTTCATTTCGACATATACAAAGCATCTTAACGGTGTGTATGTTTGGCTCGTTGAAAGTAGATAATCAATGAAAAACTTTTACAGTAAAGGAAACAGCAATACTTGAAATTGAGAAAAACAATTTCTCCACCAATATAGAAAAATTCATTTTCCCAAGCTCCTTTTCCATATGCACACTGTCACAGAATTTCAATTTATTCTCTCTCTAATGGTCTTCACTCCTCTTGGATACCTTCTTGTTGCAACCTTCCCAAAGATGAAACACTAAACGAAAGCTAATGAATTAATAAGTAGGCACGAACAGTTACTCATAAAAGAGATGTGACGTCACTTAGCTCAGACTTTCCCAAGCCCATACCAATCGCAACTTCAGAGTTTTAACTAAGTCATATTAACATGCAATTCAATTTATTTTGGAGCCACCACTAAACTATTATAGGTCGATTAGACACCCAAGTAAAATGTAAGAGAACATATTACTTCTACGAATTAGAAGGTTTCGTAGATATGGGGACTTAATTACACTTGATAAATCTAAAATCCTTTAAATACCTTTTCTCTTGATTTTAGAAATGTTTTGCAAGCAGTCTTGGTTAGTTTTAATTCAAAAGCACTAACATGCGATGCGTGATCATGCGAAGGCGCAAACAAAAATGTAACAATCAATAATTAAAGCAAGAAATACATTGTTAGGAAAAGGGTAAAGAACTTCGATGTGTTACGCAAAGCAAAAGCGAAGCTTTATTATCATCCAATGCACCAATTTTCTACATAATATTAACCAAAGACCAAGCAATGCACGGATGCCAATTTGTAAATGCAATGTTTATTAATTTTTTTGCTCTTATCTTGTTTAAGATAAACATGAATTAAATTAAATGCTAGGGCTATATGAATTCTAATCTAACATGCATTGATGAACTAACATGAAATCTAAGTGATAAGTATGCCAATAAATTGAATGCGATCTATATGCAATGACATGAAATAGAATTAATGACAGAGTAATCCTATCATGTAAACTATATGAGGTTATTTTTGTTTTTTTCATTTTATAAAAATAAAAGACCAAACCTTAGGACGCCTAGTATGACTTAATGACTTTTATTAAAAGATGACCTAACAATTCAATACTAATTATTTTTGGTATTTTCTTTTTATGATTTAAATAGGAAACTGCTTAAAATGACTTCAACCAATTATGCTTTTCCTAAAATACTACATAATTCCTAATGCATCTAAGAAATGAATTTCTAAATTAGGAGACATGCATAAATGCAATCTAAACTAAATGAAATGCAATCTTATTTGACATTTTCTATACGATGCATGTGCCTAATCTAATAACATATAAAATCTAACATCCTACATTATTGATTATATTTAATTTACATTATCACGCGTAAATAAGGAAACAAACTTAATTGAGGGTCCAATCTTTAGTCCCAAAGATCAAATCCCCAATTATCAAACATATATATCAAACGACTTGAACAAGAAAACTGTCCATTCAGTAACGCCCAAAAAATCAAATCAAATCAAATCGAGTTAGAATCAAATAATCTCAAATTAGGCAGTTAAATATTCAATCGAGCATGTAAATTAGGAAACTATCTTAATTGGAATTTTGATTCAAATGACTACTGGGTTTGGACTGCCAATTACAATTATTCTCCTTGTGGAGGAATTTGGATTGGGTGGAAACCCCACGAGGTAGACCTGGAAGTTATCTCCGTATCCGCTCAAGTTATCCACGGCCATGTCCGTATTTTGGCTCTCAATAAGACTTGTTTCTTCTCGGTTGTGTATGGGGAGCATACCTTTATTGCTAGGCGTTCTCTTTGGGCTGACCTTATTAGGTCCAGCGATCTTTTTGAGGCTGAACCTTGGTCGGTTGCAGGCGATTTCAATGCCATCCGATTCAATTCGGATAGGTTGGGTAGTTCTAATACATGGATACTGGCGTTTGATGAACATGGCCATTGTCTAGATCAAGCTGGCCTGGATGACCTAAGATACATTGGCCATCGGTTTTCTTGGGCAACATCTTCAGGTGTCTCGCGCAAACAAAGAAAAATTGATAGAGCATTGGTTAATGATCAATGGCTCAGCTCGTTCTCATTCTCGGAGGCCAACTTTCTAGCCCCAGGAGTCTCTGACCACTCTCCCATAATTGTTAGAATTGCTCCTGCCACCTCAGCTAGGAAGCCATTCAAATTTTTCAACTATTGGATGACTCATCCTTCGTTTCCTACGATTGTATCTCAGGTTTGGGATTCTCATATTGGTGGTACCCCCATGTATGTCCTCTGCCAAAAACTTAAATTGCTCAAAGGGCGGCTCAGGCAGCTCAATAGTGATTCTTTTTCTGATATCTCAGCGCGTACATCGCAAGCCAGGGCTGATCTTATGTCTACTCAAGACGCCCTAGCTCAGGACCCTTTCAACTCGGACTTGGCTATCCTAGAAAAGGATCATCTTCAGGTATTCTCGGATCTTAGACTCCAGGAGGAAAGTTTCTTTAAACAGAAATCAAGGAATAAATGGTTGAAAGAGGGGGACATGAACTCCAAATATTTCCACCATTTCGTGAACAAGAGACAGCTTCATAATCGGATCCTTTCGGTGTCGGATGAAGATGGTGCTGTTCTCTCTGACCCAATAATGGTTCATAGCCATATCATCTCATTCTTTGAGACTCTACTTAAGGCGAACTCTCCTACCGTGCGGCCTACGTGTGCAGAGATCCGGTCTGTGGTGGATCGAGCCCCTAGTGCTAATCAAATTCTCCTTCTCTCTAGAGAAGTAACTGACATTGAAATTCGGAATGCATTTTTCTCCCTGGCAAAAGGTAAGGCCCCTGGTCCTGATGGTTTTAATGTTGATTTCTTTACATCTTCATGGGAAACTGTCGGGCCTTCGGTTGTGTTGGCTATAAAGGATTTCTTTCGGTCAGGATCGTTGCTAAAGGAGGTCAATACAACGATTCTCACTCTTGTGCCGAAGATCCCCAATGCCTTGTCTATGAATGATTTTAGGCCTATTGCATGTTGCAACACTATCTATAAATGTATTACCAAGATTTTGGCTAATAGGCTAGCCTCTGTTCTGCCGTCCATTATTAGTAATTCCCAAAATGCTTTTGTCAAGGGACGGAGGATTGGAGATAATATTCTTCTTGCTCAGGAGCTCTTTGCGGGGTTTCATCATGAGCCTTATCGGCCAAAGTGTGCAATTAAGGTTGACTTTCAAAAGGCCTATGACACAGTTGATTGGGCTTTCTTGGAAACGGTTTTGCAAACCTTTGGATTCCCTCAGTTGTTTGTTAAACTCATCATGGAGTGTGTGACCTCCCCGAAATTCTCCATTGCCTTAAATGGGGAGTTACATGGATTCTTTGCAAGTG